ACTGAGCATGCCCAGTTCTGACAAGGATGCAAAGTTGGCAAGGCTAGAAGGCTAATGACCAGCATGGAAGACAGTTTTGCAGTTTCTAAAAACTTCAGCATTTACCTGTGACAAGTCCAGGAGACAAAGTCACCTGGCCACAGAAAGACCTGTGCGAACCAAGCCTGCTGGTACCAGTTTACCATCCTCAATATTTGTAAGACCGAGGCAGGAGGATCACAAGTTCAAGGTCTGTCTGGATTACACAATGAGATCCTGTCTCAAAAAAAAAAAAAATCTAAGGACCCAATTTCTTGATAAAAGCAATGGGACTCTATTATTTCTATTTCTAGTAGACAAAAAAAAAGTTATGTGTACAAAACATTCAGAAAAGATGGATAAGCCATTAAACAAGAAATTTAAACGTATAATTTGGTGTACACCTGAGAGAAGAGGAAGGGGTTATTAGTTACATAAGCACAGAGAACTGTTATATGTGTGCGTGCGTGCGTGCGCGCGCGCGCGCGCGCGCGTGTGTGTGTGTGTGTGTGTGTGTGTGTGTGTGTGTGTGTGTGTGTCCGCGTGCGTGCGCACACGCGCGCACGGGAACACATGGGAGCTATAAGATGTCTTTTTTGTGATTACAGTCTCTCGTTGGCCTGAAACTCACCAAGTAGATTAGGCAAGTTAGAGAGTGAGCCCTGGGGATCCACGTGCCTCCACATCACCGTGCCAGCTTTTCCAACTGATTCCTATGGTGACTACGCCATTTCCCCCAGTCAAGTGTTTTGGTTGACAGTCATTCAGAATCTAGAACTGAGGTGTCCTCATATTCCTGAGGTCCCTAATGCTCATAATGAAAGCACTGAATTGAAAATAGGAAGAGTAAATCACACTAGCTGGTCTCAGGGGAAAATAGAAAGGTTGCCTTGGGAAAGGTCATTCCGAGAACACACAACCATAGCCTAGTCGCCTACATATGTACAGTTTGGATTTATCCTTGTTGCCAGAGAACTCCAAAGGAGATAGACTAAGTTAGGGTGGTCCAGCCTGGAAATATGACTGAGACACTTGACCTAAGAGGGAAAAAAATTCTGGTGTGACAAAAGCCTTACCCAAGCTTCATAGCATGCCTTTGGTCATTAAAAGTGAGCTCACAGCACAAATAACAACTCCAAGAACCAGAAAAGTATCTTGTGCAAACAAATAACACTTGAGCAGTACTTTGTAGCTAAGTACTACATTTTTTTCTAAGCTTGACAAACCCAAGAAATCCATAAAATCAGATGCCCTTTTCTTCACTGAAAAAAATTTGGAGTTGGGCAGTGGTGGCACACAGCCTTTAATCCCAGCATTTGGGAGGCAGAGGCAGGTGGATTTCCAAGTTCAAGTCTAGCCTGATTTACATAGTGAGTTCCAGGACATTCAGGGCGGCACAGAGAAACACTTGTCTCGAAAAACAAAAACGGAAAAAAATATTTGGAAACCCATCTGTCTGGGTCACTTTTCCATGGTTGTGACAGAACACTATCGCCAAGGCAACTTAAAGAAGGAAGGGTTTTTGGGCTTGGGTTCCAGAGGGGCAGGTCTATCATTATCACAGTGGAGGCGCATCGCAGCATTCAGGCAAGCATGGTAGCTGGACGCCACCATGGAGCTCACATCTCTGTCAGAGCACAAGCAAAAAGCAGGATGGCACCTGGCCTTTGAAACCTCCAAGCCAGTGGTATATTCCTACTGTAAGGTCACACCGTCTAAACTTACTCCAAATTTACACCAACTGGGAACCAAGTATTCAAATGTCTGAGACCATTGGGGACATTACATTCAAACCATGGCATTAGAAAGAAGGGAGAGTTATATCTGTCATATCAATCCACAAAATGAAAGACGCAAGTAAAAAAATAACATACAGCTGGAGACTTCATTTTTTTCTGAAAAAGACCAAGGTTATGTGTTTGTATGCGTATGTTGTATGGGGATAGGCATCCCAACTTATCCAAGGATGGGATTGAGGGAGAATTGAAGAAGACGGTTTTTATTGTTGTTTGTTTATTGTTTGGCTCCTTTTATTTTTACAGTGAGCATTTGTAACTTTAAAAAATAGGCAATATTCTAAAGAAGTCTTCTGTTTATAACAGTAGCAGAGATTTGAAAACAATGGGCAAAATTCCATTTTGTAAGTGTGGGACAGCTGTTGGCTACATGGAAACTGAGCACTGGGCCAGGATGACAAATCCAGAGCTCTTCGATGATCTTTGAGATGACGGGACTAAGCTGGTTTTCAGGAAGTGTCCCCTCAGAGAATAAGGGTCATTGTGAAGACCTTGGAAATGACTGATCAGGTCAGTTACCTCACAATGTCAGCTTTGTGCCAAGATTAGTTCACAGCATTAGAAACAGTAGCTCGACCATGCCTGGTGATTGGTCCAAGGTTAGTCGGGTAATCAAGAAAAGCTATTCCAAACAAATTGATGAACTACATATAAGAACATATGAATAGAAAAAAAAACAGCAATTCCAAGACATTTTGAAGAATTATCTAAAAAAAGTCTCTTGCGTACTTATGTAGGAGAAAAGATGCTTGCTAAAATGTGAATTTTATAATCTAGAGGAATAATTTGCTATATTATAAAGATGAAGAACTTGCTGAGAGATTTAATGAAGGAAAAAAGAACAATTTTAAAACAGTATGTTAAATGGATAGTTCAGGGATTTTTGTTGTTTTTGCATTAAAATTAGCATCTGAAATTTAGCAACTGCAAAATGAAGTTTGGGGCTACTTATTGACTGAGTGGACAAATGGGCTTGCAGCCAAAGCTGAAGACCTGAGTTTGATCCCTTCGATGCCCTTGGTGGAAGAAGAGAATCAACTCTGCAAGTCATCCTCTGACCTTCAAGCATGAGCCCTGGAATATGTGCACCCAAGCACATCCACAAAATTAATCGCTGTGGTGTTCAAAGAAAGGCAGAAGTTTGGGGAAATTTATAATGTCAGTGAAGAAAGGAAAAGAAATAATTCTTAGAAAACTACCATTTCATTTTGTATCAAGGCAGTAATTCAGACAAGCATCAGCAAGGTACACTAAAGCCCCAAAGTGGAATTTGAGGGATGATGAATCCACATAGCCCTGAATAATTTCCCACAAGTGCTAACCATTTGCAAAGTAAACATAATTTTATAATAGAGACATCCTTGTGCACTGAGGACCACTATTCTGTTCAGTAATAAAGATATGAACTGATGTCTCTTTCATGTGAGCTGACAAAAGAACATAACGCCCTTAGTAAAATCTTGCCAAGAATACTTAAATGCAAGCCTCCATTTGCTTATAAGAACCACGGGGGATACTTATTACAATGGAGTAGAAAAAAACACCCAAATCTAGCGAGTGGGCTTTTTACTTAAGTCAATTGTGCCTATTTCTAAAAAACTAATGTCATTTTTTAAAATATGGGTATATTATTTTAAACTAAGACTAGAAATCTAAAACCAGTTGTAATATGCAACATCAGTTGACTCCTGGTTACAAATGGAAGAGGGTAGGAATCTGCTATTTGAAGTTCTTGAGACAGGCCAGGTGTACATCTGTAATCCCAGAAGTGATGAAGCAGAAACAGGACTGAGTCCAAAACCATTCTGAGTTATATTGATTGAAGCCAGCCCAGAGATTATGACATCTTCTCTGAAAATGCCATAAAACTTTTTTTAAAAGCACATCAATATATTTAATGAGTTTCTGTTATTTCAAGTGTGATCATGATATCATTATACCAGAAAAAATTTTGCTCTTAGGAAATGCATCTCTGAATTTTTAAGAGACAAAAGATCACTCCTAAAATACACTTTAAAATAATGTAGCCGGCTGGGCATGGGGGTGCATGCCTTTGATCCCAGTACTCTACAAGCAGAGACAGGTGGATTTCTGTGAGTTAAAAGGCCAGTCTATTCTACATAGGGAGTTTCAGACCAGCCAGAACTATAAAGTGAGGCTCTGTCTAATAAACGAAGCAATACTGTGTGGTAGGGAGATGGCAGGACTGCCATATGGCTCTGACCTACAAAAGCGGCAATCTGGCTTCATGCGCAGAGTTGAAGCAAACATGGCAAAAAAAAAAAGATCTAATCTTTGAAGTAGGGTGCTGACTTCACATTTGTTTACTGTATTTTCTTTCAACTTTTCATATGTTGAAAAAATGTAATAAAAACTTGTGGGTGGACTCTTCCTAAAACTTTCCCTGAATCATCTAAAATTTGGGCATGGTGGTGCACATCTGTAATTCCAGCACTCACTCAAGTGACTATGAAGCAGGACTGTGAGAATTCAAGGCCAGCCAGGGCTACAGTGAGGCCCTGCCTCAGAAAAGGGGAAAGACAAAGAAAAGGGGAAAAAGGGAGGCAGGGGAGAGACAGATAACAAGATTTACATTAACTTTTAAACTACCCAAACTTTATCTAAAGAACTGGCTTGTGGGTGGTTGGAGAGATGGCTCACTGCTTCCGAGCACTTGTTGCTCTTATAAAGGACCCAGGTTCAATTCTCAGTACCCACAGAGTAGTTTACAACCATCTGTAACTCCAATCCACGGGATCTAGTGCCCTCTTCTGACCTCCACAGGCACTAACCACACACATGGTCCACATCCATACATGCAGGCAAAACACTCACATAAAATAACAAAACCTAGCCGGGTGATGGTGGCCATGCCTTTAATCCCAGCATTCGGGAGGCAGGGGTGGGTGGATCTCTGTGAGTATGAAGCCAGCCTGGTCTACAGATAGAGTTCCAGGACAGCCTTCAAAACAATACAGAGAAACCCTGTTTCAAAAAACAAAACAAACAAACAAAAATAACAAAAACCTAATAAAATATTTTTAAAGTGGTTTGCTTTTCAAAATTTGCCTATTCACTATCCTCTCTGAGCACAGTAAAACCTATCTTAATTATTGCAAATAATATTCTGCTGCTAGAACAAGTCTAATATAAATCTCAAAAATAACATCAATAACCAGCACAAGATTTATAGGTGTAAACATCTGAATTTTATAACAAATAACAAAGTTAACAGCAATAAAACCAATCATTTAGTACAGCATATAATGTGTTATATTAAATTTACACAATGATATATATAAAAACACATACTGTTTATATCATACAGTATTTCAACAACAAGAATATTAAAACAGAATCCAAACTACTACTCATGCACAAAACATGCATATATTGATATTTTAAAAGACTATTTTACACAATACTGTTTACCAAAAACTTTAAAAAAATTTAAAGCCCTTTCCAAATAAGTAAGTGGTCCAATGGGGACTGGAATGCACTAATGTTTTGACCAGAGCTTAAGCAGCACCGTGCTCGGTGAGCAATTCTAGGCTTAGAGTCATGCCCATTAAGGGTCTATGTCTTTGCATCAAAGGACCAACACTTTATCCCCAAGGCAGCCTTCTAAGGGACAAACGGTTGTACTGGCTACAAGTTAGGAGCAGAGAGAAAGGCATCAAAAACTGCTGGGTATATGGCCCAAGAGAAGGTTACTGTAACAGAGGCTGGCGCGCTACGCGTGGCAAAGGTTTGTGTGAATCCTTTTAAGGTACTGTCAGTATCCCTGTCCCGTTGCCACCTCCAGATTCACAGTCTGGTGGTCTACAAGTTCTAACTCCAGTAAAAAAGGGTAGACCTCTGAGAAGTGTTGACTACATTTAAAAAAATTTACCGAAAGAAATAGCCATTTTTCTACCTGTTCTACACAATTTCATGTAATGCCCCTCAACTGGAAAGCCCTTTCAGGGAACAGCCCTAAAGAATCAAGGAGCGAGTTCATGTCTTAAAAATCCCATCCACGGCCCCTGGAAACTAAAGGTCTCATCCAAATAAAACCTGAACATCAAAACCCTGTACTTTGCCAGACGCTCGGACAATATAAACCGAAAACCAGCTGATAATCACACTTCATTCACTACCACCACCATTTAAGACCTTAGTATTTACTTCTAACTAGAGATACACCCTTCACCTTCCATTAAAGGCACTAGCGTCCACACATGACGATCAGACACAATTTATCCTGGGCTTATCCTTAAAAACAGGTTAGGCATCCCTTTAAAGTATGACACAAATATTAAGACGCCATCCTTTTTTTTTTCTTTTCTTTTCTTTCTTTTTTCAAAGACTAGGGGTAGGGGAAGACACTCGCTACAGGAGCTTCCCTCAAACGGTCGTCATGAGTTTCAAAGAGCCAGACCGGAAGCGGAGGATCTTCTTCTTGAGGTTGTGCGAAGCCTTGATCTTGACAAAGGTTTTGGTGGGGCAGGTGTGGAGGTCTGGGGCCGTGACCGTTTGGAGTGGGAGAGTCTGGACAAACTGGGACCAGATTAAACCCCCGCTCTCCTCGGAGTCGCTGGTGGTGGTGCTCTCGCCCACGAACTCGCCCTCGCTCACGCTCGACTCGCTGTCGCCGAAGCAGTTGGTGGTGTAGTTGCTCTGCTCGTCCTCGCTGGTGTCCACCACCGTGGAGTGGAAGAGCGACTCGCACTCGGCCGAGTACTCGGAGTCGCTGGCCACGTAGGCGTAGGGGCTGGCGTAGGGCAGCGCCACGGCCACGGGGTAGGCGCCCGCGTGCTCCCTGCGGGCCCGCCGCGCCCGCCGCAGGGCCTCCTCGTAGGAGACCTCGGCGGACGACTTCCACCGGCGGTAGTCGGTTCGCTTGTGCTTAGGCTTGGCCACCACCGGCTCCCGTCCGTGCGCGTGCGCCCGGCCGCCCGCCCGATGGCCGCCTGCGCCCAGGGCCCTGCCGGGAAGGCCCGCGTCGGGCGGCCCACCGCGCCTGCCCTTGGAGGAGGCCTTCCTGAGTCTCTTGCTTGTGTCCGAGTCGTCGGGGAAGCGGCACTTCTTGCCGGCCGGCCGCGTTTTCTCCCTAACGGTGGGCAGGCCGTGCTCCGGGGCGGCGGGGCCGCGGGCCTTCAGGGTGGCGCTCCTAGCGATGCCCGGGTTCCTGTGCGCGCGGTGAGGTCTGGCGCCCGCCTGCTGCCCGGGGATGAACTGAGCTTTCACCAGATGCGCTTCCTCGAGGCTTTGAGACGAGCCCTCGCTTTTGAGGTCCAAGACGGGCCTGTCCACCGCCGGCAAGGCCTGTGGGCCGCTCTTCTGCGGCATCTTCTTCGGGGGCTGAGGAGCTTTGCTCTCTACCGGGGCGACGGGGCCTCTGCCGGGACTTGTTTTAGGAGAAACAGCCGAGACCTGGTTGCTCTCCCTCAGGGATTCCCCCAGCCCCGCCGGGCACCTCGCGAGCTCTTGGGAGGCTACCTTGGCGGTTTTGGGCAGATGCTTGCTTTGGGGTTCCATGGCAGCGCCTGCCGAGCATCCCTCCGGCAGGACCAGCCTCTTGCTTTCCACCTGCTCCGTCTTGCAGTCTTTTGACCTCTGCTTAGGTGGGGAGAATGGCCCGTTTTCCAAAGAGGCTATTCCCCCGGAGGGCAAACACATCTGTTTCGTATTCTTAAGGTTCACACCACTGCCCTGTGGGACGCCAGCGGGGGCCCTGACACACACACTTCCGTTCCTCAAAAGCCCCTTGGTAGGATCAGCGTTCACACTGGTTCTAGGTTTATTGGTCCTTACAGGGTGGGTTTTTTTCTGGACCAGGCTCAGAATGTAGCCATCCATCTTCTTACTGGATGAAGGATGAGAAGCGGACCACAAACTGCTTGGAGATGGCAAGGAGTTATCTGCTTTGGTGGCGTTCAGTTCAGATGCAACGCAAATGTCACTGACATGGTTCCCAAGCCCCTCCTCTTCCCTCAGAGAGTTGCCGGTCAGACAAAGGAGAAACATAGGGCTCTGCACAGCCACAGCATGAAGTGGACTGGGGTACCGGTATACATCATTGCCGTTTTTAGACACAAGGTCGCACTGGTATTTAGGGTTCACATCTGCAATGACATCAAGGGAATTAAATTGTGGTGTGGAGGGGGGACTGCAAATTGCGCCTGAGGCCTGGTCTTCACAGTGGCCGCCTTTACATTCCAACCATCCTATGAGATCTGAAAAACACGTAAAGGGACACTGAAAAAATGAATTGGGAGAGCCAACTTGACTCTGACCAAATTCTACTAAGACTAACAGGTAGAGAAGGAATACCACAGGATTGAGACATACTCCACACTGCTCTTCTACAAGTTTACATTTTCATGGATTACTGAACGAAGGCAAAAAAAAATATTCAAGGACTTTGACAAAACATGTGTCGTGTTTTTAACAGAAAAAGAGCCACGCATAATGCTTTGAAACTACTAAATAAGGAAACACTCCGTGAACCTTAACAAAAACCGTGATGTAAATCAGTGTCATTTTTAAGATACCTATGTAAAGAAGCTCTGAAGTGAAGCTCACCAAAGTCCTAACGGTACCTTCCAGGGTGATGAGGGAAGGTTGATGTTTACCTTCTCTGTTTCCAATGACTAATATATATGTATATATGTGCATGTATGTATGTGTATGTATAATTCATACACAAAAGTTTTTTAAAGGAAAAACTTCATCTCAAAAATTTACATATCAGAAATACAATGAAACAAATGTTGGTTTCTACCTTGGAAAACATTATAACAGATTCTCTTTATGACCTTTAGTTAGGGAAATTAGAAGTTTTCCTCTGTTATATCTATCCATTTAAATAGTGAGAACCTACCCCATATCAAATTCTGTGTTAACTGTTTAGGGGAAAGCTTTGTGATCTTCAATAGTTAGCAGCATTGGGAGGAAAAAGCAAAAAAAATAAATAAATAACCTAGACTCAAGTATGATATAATTTGTAGGATTTTTTTCTTTGTGAAAATGCTGTGTCTGTACCTACTCAACCCCTAACCAAGAGCCTGTTAGCAGTAGGAATACCCAGAGTGGTGATGGGTACCCACAATCCCAGCAGGAAGAGGGACAGGTGCAGGGATGCCTGGAGTTGCAGAAAGAAGGAAGGACAAAGACCTTTAAAGAAAGGACAGGGAAGAAAAGAACATGAGACCTCTAGCTGATGTTTCCCACTATCCCTCCCCTGGTGCCTTAAAGTCACATTTGCCTGTGAGTCTCCATTTATCTTTCTCTAGACTTAGAGTAGAACAAAACAGCCCCCAAGGCCCAGCCCAACTGTCTCAATTATGTCATGATGTGGCATTTGGAAGAGCTAGGCATCTGTCTTCAAGGAAAACCTGCCCAAAGTGCCTTTTAATGGGTTTATAAAGTTTCCCTCTGAAACCAGATCTGCAGAGTGATGGGGAGCAATTAGCAATGAACTTGAGGCCCAATACTAGAAACAGGGTTCTGTACTCATCCCAAATGGTTGATTGCTGTTGATAACACACGCTGTACAAATGCAAAGGCTTGACCAATTAGCAACCTCAGCTGCTCAGTGTGACGCTTGCTTTGCCTGGACTTCAGCCTTGTACTTAGATGAAAAAACAGTGCAGTGGCACAGTCCCACTCCTCCAGTAGCAGCTCTAATCGTCTTATTTTCTCTGCTGTCTAATGTTACCAAATATAACAGGAATAAGGTGGAGTTCCAACTTTCAGGGACAACTCTCATTCAGCAGGTGGGAGCTTCTGGCAATGGGTGGCTGATAGGCCACAACTTTGTTTATTTGTTTGGTTGTCAGGTGAGATGGTTGACTATAACCACTTCCAAATTTTCCCTTCGAGTGGTGGGACAACATAATTTAGACCTGAGTTTAAATTCTGCCATGCCCAACCACACAGCTTTAAATCACTTAAATAACCTTACTTGGCTTCATTTTCTTCTTTTTTTTTAAACATAGTTTTATATGTATGTGCCTGTGTATATGTATATGTACCACAGGTGCAGGAGCCCGCAGAGGTCAGAAGAGAGGCCAGATCCCTTGGAACAAGAGTTACAGATGGTTGTGCTGGGGCCTGAACCCAGGTCCTCTGCAAGAGCAGTAGGTGCTCCTAACTGCTAAGCCATCTCTCCAGCCCCTCATTTTCTTAATACATAACTACACCCCCAAGGTTAACAACTGTACCCTGAAAACTGTTGGGAGGACTCAATGAAGATAAACGTATGCAGGTCATCACAAATTCTTCCGTCACTAACAATATCATGATTATCTCTGAAGCCTGGGGCGAATTATAACATGGAGATTATGGGAAATTTCACTATGTGAGGTATTCTGAAAAACATGGAAGGGTCACTGCTCCCTGAAGTGTTAACAGCCTTTGGCTAGACTGATGGACGTATGTAACTTAATGTGTACTTTAAAGAATAAGAGTTCCAGGACAGTTCACAAAAGAAAATAAAGGGCCAGAGATGTAGCTCAGGGGTAGCATGCCAAGGGGTACCCCAGAAACACAAAAAGGAATGTAAAAATGGGTAGATTGTATATTATGTGTTTAGTATGTGCACAAACCTAGATTCAAACACCAGCATCAGAAAGGAATGAGAGAAGGAGGGAGGGAGGGGTTAAACAGCAAAGAAACAGAGCCCAGTGTCTCTAATATAGGGACAGTTTCTCTAAAGGCGACGTGTCTTTCTAATTCCCAGAATGTAAAGCCAAAAAGTTGGCTAGTCTAGATGGTCACCTAGATCAAAGTGTAGGCTCTGTGTGGGACTGTGGCACCAAATGCATGCAGCACACCGACTGAATCGTTTTTCCTATCCAGAAAGCAGCTGAAACTACAGAACTTTAAAGACCCATGACCTCGCCCGATTAAAGTCTCTGTCAGTGCTCGAAATCCTTACCTGCAGATTTGGGACAAGCATCTGAGATAGTCAAAGCTGCCTCCAAGGGGCTGCAAAAGCAGGTGCTGGAGTGACAACTGGACAGACATTCACTGAACACGGAGTTAGAGGAATTAGAAAGGGATCCTGAAGCCCCATCACTCAGCTCATAAAACCCTGCAAGGAAAAAGATGGTTGAAATTAAGATCATATGAAGCAACAGTACACATTTATGCCTAAAAAAACAGAAGGGCAAGGCATCAAAGAAAATAAAGCTGGTTGTTTTGTTTTAGATTGTTGGGGGCTTTCACACATATTGTGGATTTTAGGGTCCTGTTTATGTGGTTTATTTCAACTTTGAGAGAAGGCAAAAATCATGTAACTCTTGGTATAGTTCAAAGTTCCCTTCATCCTCCTCTTTGTTCCACATTTAAAGGTGTGTAGATCTGACAGAGCCTCAACTTCATCAGGAATGTTTCTTTCAAAAGGAAAAACCAAGCCCTCTGGGTGTGGTGGCTCATGCCTATAATCCCAGCACTCAGAAGGCTGAAGCAGATGACAAGAGTGGATTAAAGGTCAGTCCGGACTACAAAAAAAGAAACCTGAAGAAAAGAGATAAGTAACTTTAAGAGAAAAAGTAACTTAAGAAGCCAAATGGCTTAAAAGAAGAAGAAATTGCAGTGATCTCAGGGAAGCTGAAGTATGACTCATTTTCTAGCTTAGATCTGACCTTCCCAGGTTCCAGAGGTCTGTTGGCTCTTCCAGAAGCCCTAATAGAACTTTGTATTTTCTGGACTCAGGGGACATTGGGCAGCTCAATCTCATTATTGAAAAGCTGTAGACTGAATTTATTTCCTCTTGAGCAACTGAGGATGGCAGGCTGCTCTTCAAATGTCTTCATACTGGAAACAAACCCCATAGGCACTTGCTCGGGTGTTTCCCTTGAGGGCCTGCCGGCTCACCTGAGCTAGGCCGGCTGTCTGTCTCCAGCTGCTCTTCAGCCGTCTTTCCAACATCCAGCCTCAGGTCACTTATCTGCTTGTCAAGTTCTTGCAACTGGTTCAACAAACCGGCATCTCTTCTCCTCAAGCAATTCTGATTAGGAAGAAGCAGGAAAAGGGAAATGAGCACACTGGAGGATGACACCAGAAAGACTGCTCAAGCCACTCATCTCAACAGTCACTAAGCCCTTTAGATCAAAACCCTACTGCACAATCTGAAATCAAAGCGAAAGACATGCCCTATCTTTAAACCTTTCTCATAGATTTGGTGATACAAAGTTCGTTCATTAAAAATAATGATAATAGGGCCAGCAGCACACTCAGTGGGTAAAAAAAGTAAAGATGCTTGCTGCTCAAGTCTGATCTGAATTCAGTCCCCTGAACCCACACTGGAAGGAGAGAACCACCACTGGAAAGTTGTCCTTTGACCTCCACAGGAATGATGTATGCAACTGCACTCATTTGCATACACCAAACGTACAATAATAAAAAACTATGTATGACTGAGTTGTAGCTCAGTGGTAGAGAGCTTGACTGGTGTGCACTAGCCCCTGGGCTCAATGCCCACTTCTATAGGAAAAGACAAAACTTGTTTGGGGTTTTTCTTTTATATATATATAAAAAGCATTTAATTGGGGGCTTGTTTACCATTTCAGAGGTTTAATCCCTTATCAACATGGTGGGGACACTGTGGCATGAATGGTACTTGAGAAGTAGCTGAGAGCTATATCCTGATCCACCGGCTGCCAGAGAAACCCTGGGCCTTGTGTAGGCTTGTGAAATCTCAAAGCCCACCCCTACCAGTGACATATTTATCCAATTGTATCACAGTTCTTAGGTTTTTCTAATCTATACCAACGGTGGCTTTTGATAGGGAAGGGCACGGGACCTGTACAACTTTGAATCATCTGGTGTACAGCCAGTTTAAAGAAAATCCTTCATAGCAGGCTCTTGAAGTCACAGAGTAACAGATTTCCTACAATACACTATAGTCTTTCTTACGTGAGGTTTTCTGGCCAAATGTCATGGCCTACAGAATTTTGTTTTCTATTAGTTGCTTAGTGGAGCTTAATCAGTCTTTGGGCCTTTGAAAGCGAGAAATTAATACTAATAGCCAGCGCCAAGTATAATGTGAGCTGGCAGAATCCAAAACCCTCGAGGGAAAGCCCATCAAGATTTGAACTCAGCTTGGGTTTCCAAAGGTGACAGATTGGTTGCACTAACTCACATCGCCATCTAGTGCTTCCTATTGCTAGAAAAGCAGACGAGCGCAAACGGCATCTGGTTCCAATCAAGAGTGCCAAGTCTACAAATGAAAACGGCACCGTAAACACTGACTGCGGTGGAATTCTTCTGACACACTGCCTTGCTCCCCTGAAGCGGACAATAGGAATGCGCCACTCACGATCCTGAGATTCGTGAAGGCGAAGAGGTGCTATTGTACACGACAATGCCGAAATGGAAACGGCCCGTCACAACCAGAAAGAACTGGCTCAAATTCGTGAACATACAATTCTGTTCTATCACCAAAGAAACAGTAAAAATGCCAAAACAGAGCCATTGCACAAACCACAGCACACAATCTTGCAAAATAAATACACAGAAATATCCAGTCTTTGCTCGTGCCCCATGAGTTTACAAGCTGGGAGACATAAACCATATGCTTGTATGCTAACATTTGAATTTCGTCAGGAAAAAAAATGAATTAAGTAAAAGCACTTTGATGCTCAGTAAATACACAAATAATCTGGGAAACGGCAATACACGAAAATGCGTGACAACCCACAGCACCCACTTTCAGAGGACCATTATCTAGCATAAGTAGTCCGATATAACAGGATGGGTTAAGAATCTTTTCGCTGTTTCCAAAACTACATTTTGAGGTCACTGAAACAAAGCTGCCGCCATTATTTTGAGGCGGCGTCAAAAAGCTGTTCTCAACACATGAAGATCCAAAGTTCTTTTTCTTCCTTGCTAATGAAGACTGCACAGAATGACTGAGACAGTGACAGAAATCCAATAAGATAAATGCTCCCAGCGAGCAGGTCCCCTCTTCTCCCACCTCCACCACCAAGCACAGCTGGCAGACCGGATAAATACGGGAGGAGGGGGCAAGCTCTCCGGCCAAATTGCCAGTATTTGCATCTAGTTTTAGCTGCCTTATACAAAGGACTTCTATTTAAAACTAAACACCATCCCAGGCGAGAGACTTGCAGGGGAGAGAGCACCGGGAGGGGCACGGCTCCCAGCAGGAGCTTCGCCGGAACCGTAAAACTCAGTGTTGGACAGTTAACCGAGCCACAAACCCTCTCCTCGCTTTTGTCTACCCCCCGGAGGGGAGGGGGAGTAACTAGGGAGACCACGAGGTGAAACGGCAGTTTAAGTGGGGGTTGCAAACCTCTAGAAAAGGAGGCATACAGTAGCCTAACTTTCAGGCTGGAACCAAGGGACTCCAAGAATTCCAAATGCCAGAGAGAAGGAGGAGCCGCCACCCCCTCCCCACAATCGCACTAGGTCGTCAGCTCCTCAGGTGACACAAAGCAGGCATCCGCCAGCAACGCGTGGAAGTCATGAGCCGCGGGCATCCACGACACCAGGGGTCAGGGGAAATCGAGGCGGGGGTCGCGTCACGGCGAGAGATCCCGCGGCCACAGGCTACCGGGCGAGCAGCGGCCACCACCTACCAACTGCCTCCGCAGCAGCAAGATGTTCTCCTCTAGGAACTTCTCCTCCAGACGGCTGCGCTGCGCCGGGTCCCCCCGCAGCTCCCCGGCGCGCGGCGCGACAGTCCCCGCGGCCCCGGAGCAGCGCAGCGCGCCGCGCACCAGCAGCTCCTGGCGTTGCCGCAGGTACCCCAGCTCCGCCAGCCCCGCTAGCGTGGCCTCCTGGCGCTCCCGGGTGCGCTGTCGCTCCGTGTCCGCCTCGCCCCTCTCGCGCCAGCGCCCCTCGGGCTCTGCGCCCCGGCCGGGGATCAGCGGCTCGGGCTCGCGCGCTCCGTCGGGCTTCATGGCCCCCCGAAACCCGGCCAACCCGGGCGCAGCACTCGCGCTAGGACCGCAGGCGAGCACTCATGCCGCTCACACTCGCACTCGCATCCCGCGCCGCTCCAGTCTGCGGCCCCGCAGCTGATAACGCCCCGGCCACGCTACGTCACTCCCAGCCCCGCCACCCGCCACCCCGCCCGCCGCCGGCTTGCGGCTCCCAGCTCCTGACAGGCGCCACGGCCGCCTGCGCCCCGCCCCGGCCCCGCCCCGGCTCCGCGCCCCCTTTTCGGTCGGACGGCACCGCGGTCCCCTCTGCGCCGATTGGCTCGGCTCCATCTCCGGAGACCGTAGCGGGCGCAGGACGGGCATCTTGTTACATCCAGCCTCGCGGGCCGGTCCCGCGCGGGCGCCGTGGCTTCGGGCTCCCCGGACAACTTTCTGCAACTTAACCCCTTCTTCACGCGTCCACTCGGTTTCCTCGGATTTGGGTTTTGCCATCCCAAGCTGATGTCTACTGGGTACTCGAACACCATTTCTGTGGATTTGGGCTTGGGGGTTGTCTTTGTTTTAAACTCTATTTTGTAATTAAAAAAAAAAATACAAGGCAAGGATGTTTTTCTTAAACTCTCTTTTGGTTTGTTTTAGCTTTTCAACGGAAGCTTGGCTGTAGAAGGCATTTAAAATCAGGCAGAGGGATGCTGCTGTAAGGCCATCAATTCTTATAAAAGTCTAGACTTTATGAGGGTGGCGTGTGAGCACTTGGGATTTGGGATCTCATTGTTCCTTAGCCCCTTTTTACTAGAGCCCTGACTCCGAAACCAGACTGTCTGCATCTGATTCCTGTTTCATCCACCAAGAGGAAGTTGGGTGAACTCTCTTTGTGCCTCCGTTTACCTGATAGTAAAATGGAGCTAACATACCAGCCTGTTCTAAAAATCACAGTGACAAACAGCATGTAATACATATGAGGTGGACTTGCACGTAAACCTTAAGAGTTATTGCTCTCAGCTGGGCGGTGGTGGTGCTCGCCTTTAATCCCAGCTCTTGGGAGAGGCAGAGGCAGGCAGATCTGCAGGTTTGAGTCCCTGATCTACAAAGTGAGTTCCAGGACATGTAGGGCTAGCGAGGGTAAAATAAATAAAAAGAGAGAGTTATCGCTCTCATATTTTTTCCAGGGGGACTTATAATAAAATTTTCCCTGAAGTACCAGATTAGGATTTGACCAGTGTCCTTGGGACACCACTCACTGGGCATTTCAGTGGTATAGGGATCTATCTGGAAATGCCACTAGCTGGCTTATGGGGCTACACCACGTCTCTTAAAAAACAGTGCATCCAAGCACCTTCGAAATTGAATTTAGCAAGTCATAATTTGATGAAGTTAAGACAAAGTGTTATGTGAAGGAACACATTTCAGGTCATGATTTCAGAATTTTACACCTTTGTCCAGCTGCTTACTCCAGCAAGGAAGTCTCCTTCCCTCCCACCCCACCCCCACCCCTCTATGTGGTCTAATCTTCAATTCATTCATTTCCCTGCTCTGAACTGTTAGCTGCGAGAATGTTTGGTCCTTCTCACAGGCTCTTATCTGGGTCCGGTTCTGGGCACACATAATCTGTGTACTTAGGTGTTCATTGTGTGTCTTCTCTCCAGCTACATCATAAAAGCCCCCTGGAGGCTGCGACTGTTTTAATACCCTGGTAGTATCAGCATTCTCACTCAGGCCTAGAAGCACGCAACTGATAATTACCAGAAGAGAGGCTCCAGAGCATGCCAGTTAGTTGTAAATTGTTTTTCTATTAGCACACTTTTAAACTTAACGGTACCCACTTAATCTCTCCAACAAATAGAATTAAGTTGACCTTTACCAAAAAAGCAAGAGCTCCCTCGCCACCCACTCGCACTTCTTAGCCCCCACCCCACCCCACCCCTACCTCCCCCACCCCACCCCCACCCCTACCTCCCACAGACTTGAAAGGGACCACAGCCTTGGTTCATAGCTAGCACGATATAAAAATGGGACCATATTCAGGTATTCCCACACATGCAAAGTCTACAGGTCACACATTCTTTAAGCCTACTGTGTGCCAAAGAGCGCGGTAATACAAGGGCTAGTTTTGTTCCTAGATTCAGGAAGACGCTTCAAGAACAATGTCATGTCTTACATGTCAAGTGCCACTCTCACAAATCCTGTGCCACTGTTTCGTCCTACTCATTTCTAAACAGGCCGCTTGCTTTCTAGGTCTGAATTAGGTTCCTTCTGGCTGGGCGGACCCTATTATTGTGGCCTGTGTTATGTCACACATTGACAACTATATTTATACAGTTCAAGGGGGGGAAAGCTGAAATGTGTTTTTACACACTGCTAATAAATCTTGTTACAGCTGACAGACAAGTCGCCCTGTCTCCAAACTTCTCCACCTCCCTACCTCCCCCAACCCCCCCACCCACACACCCTGCTTCCCACCAAATGCCTCTTTAGGCTGGCTTGTTGGTCCAAAGCAAACCATTTGTCATAGTAGCTTGTTCATCTCCATGAAAGAGTGTTCTCAATGAGTTTAAATATTAAAACTAATGTATGCAGAGGATTCCGCCAATAAAATGGTCTCCAATAGGAAAAGGGGGGTGATCCTTTCCAAAATATCCATTACACATTAATAAATAATGCTGCTCATTCAGATGCCAATTAAAACAAACTCAGGCTGTCAAATGAAGTTCGAAGCAAGGAGCTCAATGCGGTAATTGTTTTTCCAGGAAAATTCCCAATGTCATCAGATTAAGTGTGACTGGCCTGCTTGCCCCTGTTCTCTTCTGAAGCTAACAGACAAATATTCTCCTCTCCAGTTTAGCTTGCTAGATTTTCTTTATACTTGGATTCTGGGTTTTGTTTGCAGAAAAGAAAGAAAGAAAAAAAAAAAGAGGCAGTAATCACCCACAGTCCCCTTCCATGATGAACAGGGTCTCCCTTCCCACTACGGTTTTGATTTTTCTTTCCTCTCTTTTAAGCAATCACTGGTACTTCTTCTCACAGGGCTACTTACTTATCTCCTTTCAAGTGGTGTTCGGCCCTAGTTCGATCTCTTCCTGTCCCTGAGGCTTAGTCTTTAGAGAAACCCTGCCATAGACCCCCAGAGAATGTGACATTAAAGATACAACGAACTGCTACCTTAAGGATCTGGAGAATGAGGTAAAGCTACCAGCAGGGAAGCAAGAAAACCAGTTCATGGGACACTGCAACTGTGTAGCTTATTCTTAAGGATATTTTCTAAGGAAAGTGTCCGTAGGTCATAGTCTGAACCCTTGAGCAGAACATTTCCTAAGAGCACCCCCATCAAAGTCTGAGCATCATTCTGCAAATCCTTTATCCTGCAGTGACTATTCTATTGCAGACAGAGTAAGGAGCATCAGTTGCACGATTTCCTATAGAGAAAAGTAACAAATAATGCCTTGCAGCTTTTATGGCCAAACAGAGACAAATGATGTAATTGAGGTAAGCTGTCTCCAGATGGGAGGGGGAAGCAAAGTGCAACCCTTTGAGATTGGGTGATGACCACCATTTGAGGGTCTGGGATCAAAGCTCCAGCCAGACATCAAAGCCCATTTGAGTCTAGTGCCAAAAGAGCCACAGTGAATTAAACTTCATATACAGACTAATTAGAACTGGACCCCACAATCAGACGTCATTGAGCACACAGGGGAAAGAAAGCCAACATTGAAATAAAAGATCATCAAGAAGGAAAGTTGGTAGCAAAACTGGGCAACATCGTGGCCCTGAACACATTAAAAAAACCCTTTGAGGGCAGAAAGGACTAGGGAGGGATGGGGCGGACAGCAACCTCCTGGCAATGTTGTCGTGTTGTCTGAAACTGTGAAACTTCCTCTCCCATCCTCTGGATTACAGGGCCAAACACAGCTCATCCCCGGAGAAAAAGGTTGTCTTTTAGTCTTCTGTTAGTGGTAAGGAGGTCCAGACTCCAGGCTTCTGTTGAAGAGGTTCAAGGTGACTCTTCCTGTGACCTCTGAAGATACTGGTATGTCCAAGACTCACATGCCCTGTGATGCTAATCCTTGATGTGCCATCGACCCTGGTTTCCAGGGCCCTAATTGTCCCTTCTATCAGTCACCTTTACAGACAGCAGATGCAGTGCGCCAAAGCATGCAAATACTCTAGAACAACACAACACACCTTGGCACTACCACCGTGAAACAAGGAGCATCTCTCATGCTCAGGAAAATCCGGATAGCTTCCTTAAACGGTCGTCTTTGTGTTTGTTCTCACTTCGTTCTGTCTAAAATGATCTCCAATTATTTAAGATTACCAGTCTCACAAACTGGTAAGGTTTTGTGTGGCTGATTTTAAAATCTACAGACTTTTTTTTGTAAGTAATCACAAGGGGTTTCTTTTGTTCTTTCTTCTTTCTTTCTTTTCTTTCTTTTCTTTTCTTTCCAAGACAGAGTTTCTCTGTGTTGCTTTGTAGACCAGACTAACCTCAAACTCACAGAGGTCTGCCTGCCTCTGCCTCCAGAGCCCTGGGATTAAAGGTGTGTGCTGCCTCTGCCACCACCACCACCTGGTCACAGGGGGTTTCTTTAAGAGGCAAACGGTAATGTATAAGATGAGTCCTTTCATTAGCAAGCTTCATCTAGGATAAAAGCAAATGTGGACCATTGGAAGACATCTCTTTGTTTTTTGTGAGGGGTGTGTGTGTGTGTGTGTGTGTGTGTGTGTGTGTGTGTGTGTGCTTTGCCTGCATGTATGCCTGTGCACTGTAGGCATGCAGTGTCTGCAGAGGCAAAAAGATGGCATTGGTTCCCTTGGAACTGGAGTCAAAGCTGGTTGTGAGCTGCTATGTAGGTGCTGGGGCTTGAATCTGGGCCCAATGGAAGAAAAACTGTGTTCTTGACTGTTGAACCATCTCTCCAGCCCTAGATTACACTTCTTTAAATAATTGTTTGCTTATTCAATGGCTGTTTATGGGGTGCATAATACTCATCAAGCATCAAGGATAAAATGGCAAGCAAGACATAGTCTCAAGCTTCATGAGCTTTGACTCTGTAAAGTGAAGTGACGTTGATTAAATGGTGAGTAAATAATTACGCAATTAATATTTAAAGAGGAAATCTGAAACACTGCTGATGAGCATATTAGATTAGTATCACTACTGT